TATTATTATTATTATTATTATTATTATTATTCTTATTATTATTATTCCCATGATTTTGAGATTCCTGGGAATTTGAATAACACCATGTTGGGTGGTATTTAAATTACCTCAAAATGAGGAAAAGTGAATCTCATGGTAATCACTTTCTTGAGAATCTAAAAATTATAATTATTGTATCAAACATGATAATATTACAGATTCTCATTCTCATTCTCATTCTTAAGATTATTACATACCAAACGCCCCCATAAGGTTTGCGCAAGGATGTTTTAAGGATTTCAAGAACTCCAATTGCTGTGGATTGCAAATCAACATATATGCTTTTGGTCTTACCTTGCAACAACAACAGCAGTGTTCGGAGCGGAAAAAAAAATGGTGATAACAAGATACGCATTTATCGTGTAACACCAAAAGCTAAACAACTCTAGATCACACCACAACTAAAGGATAGGTCTACCCGAAAAAGACGACAAGAAATTTGTGAGAAAACATATATGTCTAGTATATTTTACCTAAGTACTTAAGGCCATTCTTTTTTGCAGGTTTGAGTGAAAAACTCGAGTTGAAATTAAAATTTTTATTTGAGAAAATACAGTAAAAAAAATTGTGATCCCAAATGTATATACAATGTGTAGAGATTACAATTATAATTTAATTATAAAAGTTAATATAAAAAAGAAGAAGAAAAAGAACAAGCAAAACTGTAAAAGCATTTATCTCATACAGTGAAAGTACTTAGGGTTGTTTATTTTGATGATTTGAGTTTTTAATTCGAGTTGAGATATAATTTTATGTAAGAGTTTTTTACTGTAGCAAAAAAAAAAAAAAATAGATGTGACTATTTCTGAGAGTTTTTTTACTATAACAAAACTCGAATTCTAAACTCGAATCAATAAAATGAACGGGGCCTTATTCTAAATAATAAAATTCTTGTTCAGTTTACCGATTTAAATTTTTAATTTGAGAAAAGATGTAATTATTTAAAAGTTTTTAACTGTAATAAAAAAATATTAAATATAATTTTTTATGAGAGTTTTTAACTGTAATAAAATTAATATTTAAAATTTAAATGGTAAAATGAATGTGAAGTAAAAAACTGTCACAAATGCGGTTTAAAAAAAATACTGTCACAATTAACAATTCTTTTCAAAATGGAAAAATTAATTATTCTTTTCAAAAAAATAATTATAATATTTTTAGTTTAAGTGCATTTTGAAAAAAAAAAAAAAAAAAAAAACTCTAGAGCTCATCAGGACCATTGGGCACCCATTCCCAGCTGAAGTGTGCGAGCGCCGTCGCGTCAGCCCTTCTATTACCCAGGCATTTTGCGAGCTGATTTCAAGCCAGAATACTCCTCCTCCACGGTTGGTTTTAGTTTGAAGTTTGGATTTCGTGGTCTTTGGGATTTTGAGGGATTTTTTGGGTTTCGGGATTTCATTCATATATTTTACAAAATCGAAATTAGTTTGATTTTTTTTTTTTTTGGAAATTGATGTGATTATGGTGTTGTAAAATGTTTGGTTTTTATGATTTTTATGATTTTTTTAATGCGATTTTAGACTCTGTAACTTACATCTTTACAGTTTCTTTTCATTTTCGATGTGGGACTAGGGTTCCCATTACATTTACAGCCAAACTCAGAAACACAACAACAAAGGTTCTCATTACATTTATAGCAGCAGCAAATCTTCTTGTTCGATTTTGCTGCTCTCGTCTAAGAATCTTGTAAAGTTGTCGTCTTTGATCTCGGAATGAAATCGCAGGAATTGAGGGTAGAGTTCTGCTGCTGAGTTTCAAAGAAACCGCCGAGGAAGTAACGTCACCTTCGATTGCTCTCATTTTGGTCCCTGCGTTCCTGAATTTTAAAAGGTCTCTCTCTCTCTCTCTGATTTTATTGAAACTTTCGGTATGTTTGTTTGGAAAATCTAACAAATTTAGTTGTATCGATACTGTCCTAAATATGTTATAGATAAAGTGTTTGTAATAAGCACTGAGTGGTTCTTGATGATTTGTATAGATTAGGATTATTTTCCTCTTTCTTTGTTTGGTTACTAGATTTGGTTGGAGCTTCTTCTGTAATCCATATGTATTCCCACTATTTGGCATTTTTTTTTTCTTGAAATATCTTTGAGTTTATCCTTGTTTATCTGGGTTTTTCTTCAGTTAGTTTCTGCACTTGTTGCATTATGCCAAAGTTTTATGCTTTTTCCTTTACCTAATTGATTTTTTCAATTGACTCACATTTTGCTACACATGTTGCTGTCTATTTGTATGTAATAACCTATCTGTATGTAATAACCTGTGTCATTGTCTTGTATCATAGTTATACTTTACTCTTAGATTTTCTCTCTCTGTTTTGTTACAATTGATATTATTCTCGTACATCACAATTTTCTTTCGTCAGTGTAATATTCTATCCTCTTGAGTTTCACTAGTCTCTTCATGTAAGAGTTTAAATAGTCTTCTTTATGATTGTTTCAATAGTTATTTTCTTAAAGTTTTACTCATATTATCTAGTTATTATGATGACAACTTCTTATCATCATATTTAGTTCTTATCATTAAATAACATAAAAGTTAATGATTTTCTAAATGCTACATTACTTTACTTTCCTCATAAGTTACTCCTTCTCATCTTCATATTTCGTTAAAAGATATATTTTAATCTCTTTTTTTTTAGTATTAAATCTTATTACTATTATTTTGATTGCAGATGTCTGCTAATATAGATAGTTACTTTTGAATAGTTATTTTTCCCTCCATTTCATTCTCAAACCTTTTCAAAAATTTCCCTCTTATTAGGATAATTGCATTTCATAGGTTACTTTTATATTTCAAAAGTCAATAACTGCTCCTATATCTTATCACTAGTCTTATTTTTATTACTAGTTTTTAGTGGTTTTGATTCCCTAAAAGTGTTTTACTTTGCTATGTATTAAAAAGAGGTTGGAAAGGAAGGCCTTCCTTCCTTACTCCCTCTTACATGAATAAAAAAAATAAAATATAAATATAAAGTAAATAAAAAAATCAAAATCAACCTTGGTTGATTATTGCAATCCTCTACATACGCTGGGTTTTAACTGCGGTTTAGCATTCAACTTTGGTTGAATATAAATCTCGATATCCTTATTAACATCTTGCTTAACTCATATTCCGAAGTCATCGCAATCCTATCTCAATATAAGATAAGTTCATCCCTCTTGTTTTCTTAAAATTTTAATAATCTACATTTTTTTTAAATACTTTTTCATATATTTATATACTTTGTAAGTTCGAAATGGTATCTTCAACAGCCTCTTGATCTTATGATCTTTATGTCTTTATTCTTCTTCCAGGCAGTTAAATAAATCTTATGTGTTGTTTTCCTAACATCACATGATTTATTCTTACTTGCTCTTTGGATAGAAAATGACATTATTTGGTTGGCTTTCTTTCCACCATGGATTGTAACTTCTGATACTTTCTTTCTTCTCAAAAAAAAAAAGAAAAAAGAAAAAAAAAGAACAACTAACATCTTTACAATGGAGTTCATCTTCCCATTTCTATCTTTTTCAATATAGTCTTTATCTATAATTTTTGACTAAAACCTCAGTTGATCTTGTCTGAATCATCAATTATGTAACATATTTAGAGGATGAAAAGGCATAGAAATTTGAAATTCCGTCAGTTTTGGCATAACTTTTGACTAGTCTCTTGTCTTCCTAGAAAGTGAATGTAATATTACTGAGTAGCAAGTAAGGTAGCTATCTTAGAAACGCCTTAAACTTTCACTTTGATTTTGAGGACGAAAAACAAGAGACAGAGATGAAGTTTACACCTGGTTTAGTTTGATTTCAATAAGAAGGTTAAAAAAAAAAAAGTTGTTCAAATTTGGTTTTTAGCAATCACTGATTTCCAGTTTATTTAACTCCACATTTATGTTACATTTCTCTACTTTGGTTTTTCCTTTATGTTTTATGTATTTAACTTCAACTTTTAAGTTATATCACTGTTGTTTAAACTAAATCATGTCGATTCATGTCTTCGATAGGGTTTTGCATGTTCTTTGCCTTACTTGAAAACACCACCTATTGATTTTCTTCAAAAACTTGCCTATTATGTTTCTTAGTTTGTTGAGTAATGAGTATTGATCATTAGTAATTGATTATCATTACTCAAAAAAAAAAAAAAAGAGTTTTAGATTTGAGTGCTTATTTTCCTGCCTTTGTTGTTTTGATTGATATTGGTTCTCGAGTCATTTTTCTTATTTTATCTCTGTTTTCGACAGAATTTATTAGAATGAAGCTTATTCGTTTGATGGGTTTGGAAAAAAAATTCCAGCCAGGAAATCACTGCTGAATTATGTCTGATTCTTGTAGCGGATGTAGGTTTTTTTCTTGTTAATTGATCTGCTTACATTCCAAGTGTTTATTCTGTTTGAGTCATTGACTTGTAATGTTTAGCCCCATGATACAAAGTATTGAAAAGCAAATTTTGTGTTAGTTTTTGATATCTGTTAGTTACAGAGGGGCCAAAACATTTTCCAGGCCTGAATCACTCTAAGAATGGCGGAGTTTCTTTTTGAAGATATTTTCAAGATCGACCGGTTGAACCCCGATGGGAAAAAATTTGACAAGGTTACTCGAATTGAAGCAAAGAGTGAGAAGTTTGACATGTTCATGCACCTAGATGTGGGCACAGATGTGTATCCAATGAATGAAGGTGAGAAATTCTCAATGGCGCTGAGTTCCACTCTGAACGAGGACGGAACACCCGACACTGGCTATTACACTCCGGGCAACCGCAAGACACTTGCTGACAACTACGAGTATGTCATGCAAGGGAAGCTGTATCGAATTGCCGAAGGTTCTGGACATCATGGTAAAGCGGAGATAGATGCTTCATTTGGGGGTCTTTTGATGATGCTGAAGGGTGATCCATCGTATTTCAAGAAGTACGAACTTGATCAGAGGCTGTTTCTTCTTATAAGGAAGGTTTAAACTTCACTGTTTATGAATATAGTTTAGCTTGTTAAAGGTTGTATTAACTTACTTTGCTGTTGTTTCTCCTCTTATGGAAGGGGATAATGGTTGTGGCAAAGCTCTCTTTCAGAACAACAAGATTTTTAAGCTTTTCTGTTGTATGAACTTGGTCTTCTGCTCACTCTTTGTTGAGTAGTGCTACTTATTGGAACTTTGACATATTTTATGTGGATAGGTTGATTTGAAAGTTGCTCATTTCACAAAATTTTTCTTTTCACTCTGTGGCAAAGCTCTCTCAGAACATGAAGATTGCACTCTTTTGACCATTATCAAAATGTCTCCAGCTTTTGTGGAAGTTTCGATACTATAATTTGGTATTCTTGGTTGGGTTTAGCTTCATTACACGAACATTTGCTCTCTTTAAAAGGATAAAATGGGTCTCGTTGACATGCTGTATTTTCAATAATTTTAAAACGATTTTTTTTCTTTTAAAGAAATGTTTTTTAGGTCTCATTCATTTCACTTATTCATGTTTTTAATTTTAGATTTTTATAGTTAATTTTTTTAAAAAATATTACATTTTATTTTTTTATTATAATTAAAAACTCTTATAAATTATCACATATCAATTTAAATTCGTGAAATGAACGAGGTTTAATACATTAATTTTTAAAGAAAGATCTTGACCGTGCGTATGATTAGTGTATTCGTGTCATGATTTAAATTATGGTTCGTAGTTCGTTACAGTATTTTCTCTCATAAAAAAACACACTTAAATTAAAAATAATTTTAAATCAAGATATTGAATGCATAAACTAAAAGTTCACATTTTTTTTTCTTTTTTATTTTTCCTTTTTATATAAAAAATAATGTTTGACTAGGGCTTTCCACGTTCTAAGACATCTGGCGACTGGCGGTGCCCAAATAACTCACTCTATTGCGGGGGTGTTGTTTTACAGAAATGCCCTTGTGAAATATGTGGAGGAGAATTTTCTTTGCTGTTAAGCTACATAACATGAGAGAGCAACAAGAGAGCGAGTGGCGTAGAACCATCCATATCCCTTTCGCTTTCGTACACGTGGCAAGCGGTCTAGGGAGAGGGCGGCGAGTGGCTGTGACGTGGCAAAAAGCGTAGGAGAGAGAAAGCCCACCCCCAGCTCATCCTCATCTTATATTTCTCTCTTTTATTGTCTGATCAATCCAAGCAATCCACAAATCTTGGTCCACATTTCTCTCTCTCTCTCTCTCTCTCTGGAATTAGACCCTTGTAGATATTTCAACTTCCTCCCTTCTCCACAAAAATATCGTTCATTTTTATTTTATTATCTTTTGTCTCTTTATTAAGTTTGGGAATTAGTATATAGTGTGGAGCGTAGACAACCACCGCGCTACTCGCTTTTCTTCTTCACCATCTGTTCTTCTATTTTAATTATTCTAATTTAATAACGTACACAGCACGTATGACTGTGTTAGAGAAAATTGAAGAATTTACTGCTTACAAAATAATAAAAAATTCATTAATACAATTATTTAAGCATTTTTAATTTTATTTTAAAAAATAGCATGTGTAAAAATCACAATCGACAAAAAAAGAAAAATTAAGTAGCAAGACATTTAAAAAAACTATTTTAACAAATTAAAAATAAAATAAAGAATACGTGTGAAAAGATCACTTATAAGAGTAAAGTGAAGAACATACACAAAAAAATTAAATTTAAAAAAAAATTCACAAAAGAGATAAAAAAAGTTTAAAAAAAGAAAAAAAAAAAAAAGGTAAGCGGAGGACTACTACGTGACAACTCCATAAAACAGAGCTTTGACTCTCTTATATATTGTTAGATGTTAGATACATAAAAAGTCTAAAAGTAAAAAAAGAGAATGAAAAATAGAAAAAAAAAAAAAAGAGAAAGTCAATATGTAGCCTCCATAAAAGTTAACACATGACATTCTTAAAAGTAAACTCTTTGACTCTTTTAAGTATGTATAGATATATATTATTAATTTACCTTTGTCTTAAAATAAAAATATATTATATTTTACGATTGCAGCTATAATTTAGAGATAATTATACAATTTAATTTCATTATAAGGCATAGGATTTAAATCTCTCCCACCCTAAATTAAAAAAAAATACAAAATATGTTCAAGTAGAAATTGACTACTCAATTACTATGGTAATTTGGTATACTTCTAATGTTGCTTTTAAATTAGTAGAACATCAGTGAATGGGTAAATAATATGTTTATTTTGCATGTTTTAAATACAAGTAAAATCTTTTGTTTATTGTTTTAAATACAAGTCAAATTTTTTGGTTATAATATTTTTTTCCTATAAAATTTCAATTTCTATTTAAACTAATGAACTAAATTAATAAAGATCCGAAACATTATCCTTTCATAAAGCATGTGTTATCGGGAGATATTATCCCACGCGTGCGCGCTGTTTTTCTTTTAAAAAAAAAAAAAAACAGAAGTAAAACAAATTCTCGTGAAAAGGAAATTGCAAAAGCAAAATCCTAAAAATAAAAAAAAAGAAAAAGAAATTTTACATATGAGCCAAAGAGAGAGCGAGTACGGGGGCGAGTGTGGAAAGGTGCGACTTGGGTAAGGACGGAATTATCCAGTAGTGGCTGAATTTGGTTGGAAGAGAAAATAGCTACAAATTAACTAATTTATAAGACACACTCAGTGCCTAACAAAAAGCGGAGGGGGACAGGACAAGGCAACTCCACGTGTAGCCGAACCCTTTTCGTCCTCAGCCACAAGATTCCATCGAATTCTCCAGATTTCCATTTTCACAAATTAAAATTAAAAAAAAACCCCCTGAATCTTACGTGGCACCGTCTGTTCCTCCTCGCCCTTTTCCTTTTTCACCTTTTCCGCTTTCTTTCTTTCTTTCTTCGTCACATCCCAAACTCTCTGTCCTTCCTTCCAAACTCTCTCTCTTCTCCTTCTTCTTCTCCTCCTCTTTCTCTGTTTCCGAGCCTTCATCCCTCTGTTTTCCTCTGAATTCCACAGAGAAGTTTCGTCGCCGTTTCTTATCGTGTTTCCTTGGTGGTAGGTTTTTCTCACCGGACGAGCTTCTTCTTCGGTTTCTTCTCCTTTTTCCGTCGTCTGCTTCTTGAAAAAGCAAGAAATTTGGTGGAGGTTTTGGTTTTTTTGATCGGGAAAAGCTGCAAAATCAGTTTGAATTCTACGGAATCGAAGGCTTCGGTTTTTGGATCGAGCTCAAGGAACCTTTGAGGATTCTGCTCAAGCGTCGGATCGTCATGGTCTAGGGATTTCGGAGCTTTTTGAGTTGGAAATCGGGAGTAACAGTGGAGGAACGGAGAAAGTTTTTCGAATTAATGAAAATTTTTTGAATTGAGCATGAGTTTATGAGTGTATTCGACGTTTTCTGTGCTGGATTGGTTTGAGGGGGAAGGAAATCTTGCGTAATGGAAGGATCGACGGTCTCTACGGCTGCGGCTGTCCAAGTATGTTTGAGCTGTTGGCTTTGTTTGTTTCATTTGTGAAATTCATACTTTTTAAAAAAAAAATGAAAAACTTCTGATCTTGAATTTCATTGAATGTTTATTGCTCTGCTGAAATAGAACAATACCGCTCTTTTTTTTTTTTTTTGTAGTAAAAAAAAATCCTATTTATAAGATAAGGAAAAAAAGATCTTGCTGCTGTATATATCTCTTGTACCAGTTTTAGAATCGTTTTTTTATATAGACTTTATGGAATTAATCTTATTTATGTTAAATTAACTCTGTCAGATTTTGTGGAAATTCTGTCTAAGGTGGAATGCATTCTGAATATGTTGTATTTGCTCTGTTAAATATAGGAATGTGACAATGGAGGAAGTGTTTTCCCATCAGGCAATGCAATTTCACTGAGTGTCCAATTAAAGGACCATTTTTCATGTGGAAATGACTATTCTCCTAAGGTTTGGACCCTTCTTTTTCTGTTCCCTGTTGACATTTATCCATTAATTATTGGTAATTTGGTAATCATCCTCTGTTATCTTAACATTTCAGCATTTTTTCCCCTTCTCTCTGTCACACTAGGTGAGGAAGCCATACACAATCACAAAGCAGAGAGAAAGATGGACAGAAGAGGAGCATAGGAAGTTTCTCGAAGCATTAAAGCTGTATGGTCGGGCTTGGAGAAAAATTGAAGGTTCATATTTTGTTATTAGTTACATCTTTTGGGTAAATTTTTAAAATGTTTGTCCGTTTAGTAAAACATTCCTTTTTGTTTATAACAGAGCATGTGGGCACAAAAACTGCAGTTCAGATTCGAAGCCATGCTCAAAAATTCTTTTATAAGGTTTACTGCTCTTATTCCAGTTACCCATTCTACCATAATATCTATAACCCATCTTTTTTTAGTAAGTAGAAATTTTTGATGATCTTAGGCTTGCAAAAAACTTTTTTAAGGGTTAGTGCAACTGTTCGTGATATTGTTCTTAGTCTACTTGTTTTTCATTGTGGTAAGGTTGCAAGAGATCCAAATGGCGGAAATACAAACTCAGAAGATCCAATTGAGATACCTCCTCCTCGGCCTAAACGGAAACCTATGCATCCTTACCCACGCAAACTTGTTGATTCACCTAAGAAAGAAATACCCCTTGCTGAGCATACCACGAGCGCTCTGTCTCCAAATTTATCACTTTCGGAGCAAGAAAACCAATCTCCGAAATCAGTTTTATTCGCAATGGGATCGGATACAATTGGCTCCGGTGGTTCAGATACACCAGATGGAAGCTTATCTCCAGTTTCATCTGCTCCCGGCATTCATGATGGGAGCTTTATAATTTCTGAGCCCAATCCATCGTCTGAGTTCAGCAGATCTCCCCCAGCAGCAACAGTTTCGGTTCCTGATGTTCGATTTCCCATGGTACTTGCTATTATCTCTTGTTGCCACATGTTCGTCCAAGTTGACAGTTTTAAAATTACATATTCTTCGTTATTCACAGATACGAGTAAAGATTCAGTTAATTAGTTGGTTAATGTTTATAGCTCACAAATACAATTCAGACTAAATCTTGAGAAGTTATTTCATTCATCTTTGTTTTCGCTCATAACATTCTTATGGTTCTCTTTTTAACATGCAGAAACTTGAATCATCTTCCCAGGACACTGCCTATGTCAAAGAAAGTGCAGCTGAGGAAGTTTGTGCTCGGAGCCTTAAGCTCTTTGGAATGACCGTGTTAGTCACAGATTCCCAAAGACCGTCTTCCCCAACCACGGAGACTTGCGAGCCACCGCCACAATCAGACGCACACAATGAGATACCAGCACAACAATTACAGCAATACTCCACGACCATGGAGTCCTCGGCAGAGAATGCGAACCGTGTTTGGGGTCATTTGCCCACTGAAGTGCAGGCTCTCTACCTCATGCATTTGCGGAATGAAAACTCTAATCTTGCACGACCTGGCTCCGCAACTCCCATGCCATTGTGGCCGTACTATGGAGGTTTACCGTTTCCATTCGTGCCGTGCAACAAGCCGGAGCCAGTAAAAGGAGCTTTAGATTCTAAACTTGGAAAAGGCCAAGACAAGTGTTCAGATCTTGACACTCGGAGTCGTTACTCTTCCTCGGAAAAGGAGGCAAAAGAACCAGAGTTGGGTTTCAAGTTGAAACCGAGTTCAAGATCAGCCTTCTCTCAGTTAAGGGTAAGAACTGATAAGTGTAGAAAAGGATTTGTGCCGTACAAAAGAAGTACAACGGCAGAGGAAGAAACTCAATCATCGATCATAACAAGTGAAGAGAGGGAAGAGAGGAGGATTCACCTCTGCTTATAGATTCTCTCTTGGATTTTTCCGTAATGTTGATTCTCTTATTTGTAGATGATGATTATCTTCTAACTTAGTTGAGGGACTGATCCGCGTTTACGTCCGATGATAAGAGCGCCAAAATGAGTGCCAGCAATTTTCTGCAGATTTGCAAAATCATCTACCACTTTTTTGTTTTCCACTTTTTGTGTATGTATTATATCTTTTTTTTTTTTTTTTGGTATTTACTTTTAGTCCTTGGGGATCAGCTCTCTTCATTTCTTCTAATTCTTTTTTCCCTTTTGAACTGTGAATTCCTTGGCTTCCTTCCTGTCTGTGTACTACGACGAATTTTTCCTTCTTTTTCCCTTGGAAATGTAAGAACAAGACTTGTTTATCTTATTATATTCAAGTGTTGGTCATTTTAGCATTTTTAGATAGTAAGAATCAGGAAAACCCAAATCAGCAAATTAAATGGGTTCTTAATTTTTCTTGTTATGCTTTCTGAAGCCCTTATAATGCAACGGGAAGTAGGATTACAGATTGGGATAAGTACGCGTTCAAAGAAGTGTTGATTCTGCGAGTACAATGATAACAAAAGGATCTCTTTCACCTTTTCCTTAAGTTGAAATAATCTTACCTTTTCATCAGATAAAAGAAAAGAGTTCAGCAGTTAATTATTAATTAACCACCATAATTTCTCTCTTATAATGAAGCATAAGAAGATAATTCGTTTTTCAAGTATTAAAATTTTCGACAAGAAAAGAAGTGTTAAAATTGTGTACGCATGCAATATTTTTTATTTATTTCGTGAAATAACTAATTCGATAATAGGGTTGGGCGGATTCTTCCAATTCACATATTCATTGAACCACGTTCCTAACAGCAATATTTTTTTGTATGCTCTGACCATTTCTTTTCATAGAAATCATCGCGTGTAAGCAAAGGAGCTGGATTTAAGCGTGTAAGTTGCTACGAAAAGCATTTTTCACCTTCCCGTTTCTCAAAAAAGAAAAATTATTCACCCAATAAATAAACTATAGAACTTAACATGAATAACATTTATACTTTTCGTATAAAATTATTCTCATGTGCACCCTCTCAATTTTTAGGTCATTTGTCACTTTTTGTTATAAATTTTAAAAGTTCTCACTTTACTTGTTGAATTTTAAATTAATTAGTTCCACTTAATCTTTTTGTTAGAATTTTTACTAAAATTAAAAGAAAAATATGATATTAAATGAGGTCATGTGATTTGTTTTCAATATAACTTCTACCATAAGTCATTAAAAAAGGTCTAATAAAAGAGGTTAAGTGGTGATTTTATGAGTTTTTGCGTTTTTTTTTTTAAAAAAATCTTTCTATAAAAATTCTAATAGAAAGAATTAAGTAAGACTGATTTAAAATATTTATAACAATAAATAATAAAGCGAGAGTTTTTAAAATAATGAAGTGAGATAGCCACATTTGAGAATAATTCTTGTTATAATAAGCATAATCATTTATTAAAAAAGCAAAAAAAAAAAAAAAAACCCCGGAAAGCAACCCGGGTTTTACGTCTTACGTGATGCTTGTGACTTTACTCTTTACTCTTCTCTAGCATCCACTTCCACTGTCTCTTTCTGTCTTTGGCCGTCTCTGTATCTGTCCCCGTCCAAGAAAACCTCACCTCAATCTCACTCTCTCTCTCCAATCTCTAGAGAGAGAAACAAGAAGAAGAACCAAAAAAATGCCAATACTTGAAAATCCCAACAAAGCCACTCTTCCACTCCTCCTAGTATTCACATCACTGCTTCTCTCCACAGCCACTTCCCACTCGCCTGCTTCCTCCTTCTCGTCCTCGTCTCCTTCTCTCTCCGTATGGCGATCCGCGCGTGCCACGTACTACGCCGCCGCCGACCCCCGTGACTTGGTGGGCGGCGCGTGCGGGTACGGCGACCTGGTGAAGAGCGGGTACGGGATGGCGACGGTGGGGCTGAGCGAGGCCCTGTTCGAGCGCGGCCAGATCTGCGGCGCCTGCTTCGAGGTCAGGTGCGTCCAGGACCTCCGCTGGTGCATCCCCGGGACCTCGATTATCGTGACGGCCACCAACTTCTGCTCTCCTAACTACGGATTCACGGCCGAGGGTGGCGGCCATTGCAATCCGCCGAACAAGCACTTCGTCCTCCCGATCGAGGCCTTCGAGAAGATCGCCATTTGGAAGGCCGGCAATATGCCCGTTCAGTATCGCAGGTGATCTCTTCTTTTCCTTCTTCTTTTGGTGATTGGTTTTGGTGCAAATTTGTATGGAGATTGAGCAGGAAGATTGTTCAGATGGTCTGCATTTCAATTTCGTTTACGATGAATGTTGGGAAATTTAGGGACTAATTGTAAAAAATATAGCGTTTAAAGACGAAATTACAAACTACAAGAAGTTCAAATGTACAAATGCTAACAAATTTGTGATTGTTTCGTGTAAGGTTTAACTTCATTAGAGTTAATTGTTACAATCTTACAGATTTAAGGATTAGATTGTCAAGAGAAAAAATTTGTTTAAAGATAAAAGCGTCAAATTCCGAAAGGTTAATGGGGAATAGTAACTAAATGTTAATTTATTTAGCAGGGTGTGTAGTTAATTTAGTATTGGAAAATTTACTTGGTTTTCTCAATGAGCGAGAAGAGGGTGCGTATGTATATATGAGCCTTATATAAAATTGTTGTTTGAGGTAATTACTAAGTACCTTTCTAGGCTTATTTTGTAGGGTCTAATACTTTGCAAGTTTCAACCATTTGCCATCAAAACATTTGGTGTCTAGAATGCAAGGTCATTACTCATTTAGTAGTACATATTACAAAATTAAGGTAGCATCTCCAATGCAATGCTATAATTGATGTGCCTATTGCAAATTTAGTATTTGAGTGCAAAGAACTCTCTCTAATGCAATGCTATTTGTTGTACCAAATTTCCATATGCTATACTTTGTGGTAAATTTTCCACCAAGTATAGCATATGGGAAATTTGGCATTTGATTGCTATGGTTGAAATTTTTACTTTGTCATGTAATGCAACTTTTGCATTTTCTAATTATTTTAAAAATAAATGTTACTTTTACAACTTTTAAAGCTTAATGATTATTGGAGAAGCTAGATTTAGCATTTTAAATAGCATTATGCATGGAGCAAAAATGAAAATAACATACCATATCATAATTTTTTATACTAAATATAGAATTGGCATTAGCATTTGCATTGGAGATGGTCTAAGAAAAATTGGCTACCTATAAGATTGGTTGGAAAGCTTTATGTAGATGGGTTAGTTTTTCCCCATGGAGAAAGCACTACTTTGAATCGAGGTACTGCCATTAATGGGTATGATATGCGATAAAGATTCGAGTGACGGCCTAGTGAAAAATGTCTTCCTTTCCTTCTTTTGTATGACAAGAGAATGTATTTAGTTATCTCTCTGTATATTATGACAGAGGTTGGCAGATGTAGAGAGAGAGAATAAATTTACTTCTAATTATGTTATTAAAAGATAAAAACAGGAAAACTACTAATATATTAAAAGGAAGAAAAAAGAGAGTAGAGAGATATCTTGCTAAAGGGAGGCAAGGGAGGGAGAATCCTAGAAGGTTATAGCTGTCTCGTTTTCGTTCAATTTTAGTAAATAATCCCAATATCCTTTACTATTGCAAAGATACACCTTCCCAAGAGACTGTTTTTTCCACTTTGTGTACCATGTTGGAATACCAAGATAAAAAATATAGACAGAAAAAGAGGGAAGAGATAGAAGAACTAGAGAGAGAAATAGAAACAGCAGAACAAGACCTCATCATCTATTTCTAAATGAGCTTTTGAGACGTAAGAGATAAGCTGACAGTTTTCAAAGTGCATCTTCTTAGGTTGTATTTGATTTGTCAAAGTGTTCCTAGGCTTAGCTGCAACGGGCAAAATGTTACCATTTACCTATAAAGATCGAAAGAGAAGATTTCCCTTCATGAACCCTGTAGCATAGCTGGGGGCAGAATTGGGAAATCATGTGCGTGTTTAGAACCGTTTTTAAAAACGGGTTTCACGTATTTCGAGAAGTAAAAAATGAAAACGAAACAACGTTTGTTTAACAAATGTTTTGAAAACAAAAACAGTGAGAATGGTATTTGTGAAGGAATTAGAAAACAGTTGAAAGTTTTCACTTTTTTGTTTTCATTTTGTAGTACTTATCAATAATATTATAATATATTAATTAATAAACACGATTTTACTTTTTTATTATACTCAAAACAATCTCTTAAAAAACCAACCAAACGCAATTTTAGAATCGGTCCCAGAATGATTCTCAAAATAATCTCATTTTTACCTTTTATTGAAAACAAAATCATTTTGAAACCAATTCCATACGCACCCTATATGTTGTTTCTACCTAGCCATGAGTATTGGTGTAAGAACTTTTGCTTAGTGTTAATAGGCCATTTTTAGAACCTAGATTTACTAATTACATTACTCCATAGATGTTATTGGAATAGATACTTGGATTTCTGAAGATTGCATCAATTAGAGCTCTAGGATTTCGTTGCCAAATCAATTCTATCATGGCTGTCTTATCCTATACAAATTGAAATTTCAGAATCAAGCGTTGTTATAGAATTCTGTTCTTAGAAGTCTTTAGTTTTTGTTAATTGGTCGTGGTTTTTGATACTGGCTTGTTTTATTTTGTTCTTATAGTTGGTATAAATCTTAATTGCTAGTTCTCTGTTCTTTTTTGAATTGATCTTAAATAAAGTTGAGAATTTGTACTTGATCATTGGTCAAGAAATTAGACAAGAGCATGCAACCTTGTGGTAAAAACGAGCTTGTATTGAAAGTGGATCAACATACAAAGTACAAACTAAAGAATGTCGTACTCTGTTGTGAAATTTGAATATTGTCTTTTCCTTTATTCTTTGTTACTTGGTTTTTGTAACAGAATAAAGTGCAGAAAGGAAGGAGGAATACGTTTCACAATTGACGGTGAAGGTATCTTCATCTCAGTGCTGATCAGCAACGTTGCCGGTGTTGGAGACGTAACAGCAGTGAAGGTCAAGGGTTCAAGAACTGGCTGGCTACCGATGGGGCGGAACTGGGGCCAAAACTGGCACGTAAATGCTGATTTAAAGCATCAACCGCTTTCATTTGAGGTCACGAGTAGTGATGATGTCACGGTTACATCTTTTAATGTCGCTCCCAAAAATTGGAACTTTGGGCAGTCATTTGAAGGGAAGCAATTCGATTCCTAATATATATATATATATATATATATATATATATTCAGAGGAATATGTACTGAAGGGGACCATACCGTTTACTTATCAATTTTGTTTCTTATTTGGGGTAGTAGAGGGTGTAAGAAGTGTGTTCTTTCCTTTTTCTTTTTTCTTTCCCCCTCTAGTTTTGGTGGTGGAAGTTAGGTTTGCTAATGCAATTGGGGTCTAAAGATTTGTGTACTGTTTGACATCTTGTAGTAACTTGTTTGGTAATGTATCATAATGATTTTTGGATACTCGGTCCCATATAGTACAATACAATTTAATAGGAGTCGTCAAACAAAAAAACTAATTGAGCAAAGTTATTTTTGTTTACGAATAATTAAATTAGAAGATTTGTGTGTTTTTTGGTCCCCTTGCAGTGCCTCTCCCTTGTATATCGGGTTTCAAGGGATTCTATACTATGATTAGATCAAGGTGAACGTATAGGTCCATACCTTAGCATCAAATACTTGTGTCTTGTAGTGAAATTACGAAGAACTTAGTTAGGGTTTTGTAGTCATCTTGTTGTGAAGATGTTGCAACTGATTCTTAAGATATTAAGGCTTTTTTTTTTTTTTTAAGACCTTATAAATTTGCATATATATATTTTCAAATTATTACTTCAAGAACATAGATAAGAACAGATATTGGGATTTTTATTGAGTCAACTCAAAATACAACAATGGCTTTGCAGTGGTAAACTGGTAATTTGCAGTCATCTTGTTGTGATGTTGCAACTGATTCTTAAGATATAAAGGTTTTTTTTTTTTTTTTTTTTTTTTTTTTTTTTTTAAACACCTTATAAATTGGCATATATATATTTTCAAATTATTACTTCAAGAGCGTAGATAAGAACAGATATTGGAATTTTTATTGAATCAACTCAATATACAACAATGGCTATACAGTGGTAAACTGGTAATTTACAGGCAAGCTATACAAAGGAAAAGAGAAAAACCCTAATGATATAGACAACTGACAACCAAGGAATATTCCAATGACTGTGGAATAATAGTACGAGGTAGAACCGTTGCTGAGAGGATAAGCATGAAATCAGAAATCCCAACTGCTGTACACGACAAGTGGTTTGGGTGGGAAAATGAATAAAAACACCTGTCGTTTTGATTGTGTACTCTAACTGGCAGAGTCGTTATGAGAAAAGTACCTGGCAAAGTTACTATTTATGCTAATTGTATTATTGCGACTTTTATTTTTTTATTAATTAAAAGACAATTATTTATTTTTAGTTGAATGATATAAATAATATTTTTTATATGATATTTTTAGTTTTTTTTTTCTACAGTTATAATACTGCAATTTTTGCACCGTAATACATAAGTTAGCTCAAATATATGAGAAAACTCAAAAAAATACCCCCTTGAATTTTGTCTAAATTCAACATCTATCTTTATGTTTTAAAATGATCACAAAAATATCACTACTTTTTTAGAAGAGTACTAAAAAAAAACGCTTCAGTAATTTTACCATTTTTTTAATGAAAAAACCAATAATTGTAACTGCACTAAACTCAAGAGTAGGGGCTGTAACTCTGGGTAGGCTCGGGTTTGGCCTAAATTTGGGTGGAGCCACGTATTACGGGTTGGGAAAACTGTGGGCCACAACAACCCGTTGGGCCCAAAAACTCGCACTTCTTCAGGCTACATCAGCTCGGATAGGGTCGGTCAGGCCTATGCGTGTTGGGGCTATCTCTCTCTCTGTACAGAAAAATAAGGAAAACAAACAACTTGAGGAATCAAGTTACAGGACCATATAACACAAAATATATGAACATAGCAGTGCATGAAGAAGATTAACAAAGCAAGTTGTTGTGTGGGAAAATCTAGGTGACACGTGGGATATCGACAGTGTTACACGTGGCCCTACTTCTCCTCACAAAGTGACAACCCTCGGCGCCTGAAGCTCACTTCCCCTTTACGTTGCGAAGAAAGCCCGCCTTAGGGCGTCGACCCGTTATGCCATCGACCCTATGACTTGTGCAAATTCCCTACGCCACGGAAGGATCAGCGACCAGAAGAGGCCACTGCCCACTTAGCGTAGACGTTGAGGGTAGAGCATGGGAGGCGACGCCCGTATCTCCATAAAGGTGTCTGACACAACCAACTTGCATCTGGCACTGGGAGATGTCTGCAGTGCAGGCATTAATTACAAGCCCCTAAACCGCCCAACAGTGGACGGTGGATGGTTACATGGAGTCTACAGAGCCGTAATGGAAGACTAATTGGATGAGTGTATAACTCAAAAGGTGATTAGTGGGCTATGATATGAGCCTATGATGGTAGGCCATTCGAGTGCTTTTGCCTACGAGAAGAACCGCCCACGAAGGAACCCTTGGCTATAAAAAGGGCAAAGCCCCAAACGAGTAAAGGATGATTTTTTCTTTGAGTTTGGCTCATTTCATATTCAACCCGAGAGTAGAAAGGGAGAGTAATTGTAAAGAATTCAAAAGAAATATAAAGAAAAGTTGATGTAGCTCTTCATTAATAGAGTGAACCGCTATAAACCTTGTGCCTTTATTTTCATGCAAGCACAGCCCTCTCATCATATTTATCACAAACTTCATACACGCTTTACTACACCATTTTCAATACCAAATAAACACTTTTTAGTTGGTAACCTGACAGGATACCTAAAAGTGACCCGTGTAATCCTGTTGACGAAATTTCACCGTTAACACAAGTCATTTTCTAAAAATCAAAGGAAAAAAACACTGATCTTTCACTAAACAGTAAATGCTTCTTGCCTTTTTCTTCTTCGCCTCTCTCTCGAACAAAAAAACAACCTGAATCAAAATGAAAAAAAGAACAAAAGACCTTAGTTTCTAACTACAAAATTAGTTTCGAGAAATAACAAAAGCAAAATCACGAGAACAAAAGCTCTTAAAGCAGTTCTAAAACATTTCCAAGTTTGAATCTTCGACAAATTAAGAAGAATTTAGAGAAAAATGACTATTTTAGATAAATTAGATTAAGGTTAGAAAGAAGAATGAAAGACAGAGAGATGATGAGGAGTGAGGTAGTGAAAGAATGAGTGAGGGAGAGAAAAAATGCCTTTTATATGTAGGGTTCCTATGTAATTATTAATTAATATATAATATATGTAATATATATAAAAAATTGAAATAACATGTATTGATAGGTCGGGTCGGGGGAGTACGGATTCTAACTTCCCCACCCTGCACCCCTACCCGCACTCTACGGGTAGGGGCGCGGGGTGGGAAGTTACAAATCCGACAATTAAAAAAAAAAGAGAAAAAATTGAGAATTCCGGGTAAAATAGGGTTGGTCGGGTTCAGCCTAATTTCTTACGGCCCTAGTCCCCAAAATGATTACATGAAACATAAGTTGAAGAGTACGACGTCGTCTAAGATGCCACAGGGCAAGCGAAGGCCACGGAAGCAAGGTTGGCGGGAAAATTTCCCGCCAAAAACCTTGGGATAAGAAGGAAAACGTAAGTAGGTCTGGCTGTGGATACAGAAAAGAAAATCACACCATAAAAAAAAAAAAAAAACCGCGGAGAGAAAATGGCTGGGAATCCGCCCTCGACGCCGGAATCGCCAACCTCCGGCGGCTTCAACACAGATCAACTCCCTCGCACCTCGGAGAACTTCTCCTCCCCCTCCTCCTCCGACGACGACGAGGCAGCCGTCGATCCCCAAGTCATCCGAGACGACGACCTCGAAGACCTCCACAATGAAGACGAAGAGGGCGACGGCGAGGATCTCTTCCACGAGAATTTCATGGAGTCCGTTTCCTTTTCCTTGATTCTATAATCCTCTTCTTCTTATTCGTTTACAACTGAATCGATTATTGATGGATCTTTTTCTTCTTTTTGTGTAGGGATTACCGGAGAATGGATGAGCATGACCAGTACGAGTCATTGGGGATCGACGAGTCGCTTGAGGACGAGAGGGATCTTGATCAGATCATGGCCGACCGCAGAGCCGCAGACTTGGAGCTCGATGCTCGCGATGCTCGCGTCAACACCCGCAAGCTCCCTGACCTTCTCCATGATCAAGGTTTTCCTCTATTATTGTCCCTCCCTTTTCGGTTTTCGATCTGCAACAAAGATCACATACTGTTATTCTTCATTTTGCTGTAATAATTTGGGTTTAACATCTCGTGTCGCCAGCAATTTTTTTTATAGTACTTTTTGGGCGTTAACATTTTATATGGCTAGAGGAAAAAAGCTAATACTCTCGATTCTGTAGTAATTTTATAGGGGTAAACATTTTCTGGTACAAAAGAACTCTCGATTTTGTACTATGTTTTAGGGGTTAACATTGCCTGTGGCTGGAGGAAAAAGTTAATACTCTTGATTTTGTAGTAATTTTATAGTGGCCAACATTTTCGGGAACAAAATAACTCTTGGTTTTCTAGTATTTTTTTAGGGGTTAACATTTTCTGTTGCTAGTTGGAAAAATTATTAATTTATTTTGTAATTCTTTTATAGCGGTCTTTTTTTTTTTTTTTTTTTTTGGTGGCAGACACCGATGATGACAACTACTGGCCTTCAAAGAGGACGAGAGCTGATTTCAGGCCTCCAGGTTCTCGAAGAAACCACGATGATGATGCTGATGCAATGCAGAGTTCGCCTAGAAGATCACAGGGGGCTCCCTCCAGAGAAGATGTGCCCACTACTGATCAAACCGATGATGAGCCCTTTGAGGTCTTCAATTTTCTTATTTACCTTTACTTCTTGGTTTGGTTTTGCTCTTTGCATATCTTATTCATGTTTGCTTGGTTTTGACGTGTAGGATGAAGACGATGAAGATGGCGAGTTTGAGATGTACCGTGTGCAGGGCACACTGAGAGAGTGGGTTACTAGAGATGAAGTCCGCCGTTTTATTGCCAAAAAGTTCAAAGAGTTTCTGCTGACTTACGTGAATCCGAAAAATGAAAATGGTGAATTTGAATATGTTCGTCTGATCAATGAGATGGTCTCAGGTATTATTACGTTACATCATCTCTTGTTCTGTTAGCTCAAGTTCAGCGGAACTTATATGTCACAAGTAATATTGTTGCTCATGCTTGGTGGGTTAACGAAATGCTTCTGTCATATGATGTCCTTTTCCCTATGCTATTTTTGTAATTGGACTTGTTCAATGTCACGTTTGCAGCTAATAAGTGTAGTCTGGAGATTGACTACAAGCAATTTATCTATATTCATCCCAACATTGCCATCTGGCTCGCTGATGCTCCTCAATCTGTCCTAGAAGTCATGGAAGATGTTGCAAAGAATGTTGTCTTTAATTTACATCCTAACTACAAAAATATCCATCAGAAGATCTATGTCCGCATTACTAACTTACCAGTATATGATCAGATTCGGAACATTAGGTACTGCGTAACGACATTCATCGTTTATAACACTTCTTCATAATTTTCCCTTGTTTTTCATTTTTCCTTATTCCGAGTTTTGCAGGCAAATTCATTTGAATACAATGATTCGTATTGGGGGAGTTGTGACCCGACGTTCTGGGGTCTTTCCCCAGTTGCAACAGATAAAGTATGATTGCAACAAGTGTGGGACAATTTTGGGGCCATTCTTTCAGAATTCTTATTCAGAAGTGAGGGTTGGTTCCTGTCCCGAATGCCAATCAAAAGGACCGTTTACAATCAATATAGAGCAGGTGAGTTCGCAGGTTGCCATTTACATTATCTTTAGTTGCCAGGAAATGAAAAGAGCAGTAATTTTGTATCCAAAATCTGGGGGTTGCAAGGCTAAAATGGATCGAGAATATGTTTTTATGGGTTCTAAGTACTATAAGAATTTTATATTTGGCCCATCAGCAAAGAATATAAATATAATCTGCAGTATTTTTCCTTATCCTTTCATGCCTTGGTGCAGACGATATACAGGAATTACCAGAAGCTTTCCCTCCAAGAGAGCCCTGGAACTGTGCCTGCAGGTCGACTTCCAAGATACAAGGAAGTTATACTTTTGAATGATCTGATTGATTGTGCACGCCCCGGGGAAGAGATTGTGAGATCCTGTCCTGAAATTACTTAGGTTGTTACTGTGTTAGCTAGCAGTTGCTAAGTTTATTCTGTTTTGTTCCGTGTAACTTATTTCAGGAAGTAACAGGAATTTATACAAATAATTTTGACTTGTCGCTGAACACAAAGAACGGATTCCCCGTATTTGCTACTGTGGTGGAAGCGAACTATGTCACAAAGAAACAAGACCTCTTTTCTGCGTATAAACTTACGCAGGAAGACAAGGAACAGATTGAGAAGTTGGCTAAAGACCCCAGAATAGGAGAAAGGGTTTGTAATTGGAACACTCTTCGTCTTCACTTTTTTAATACATGATCATGAAGTATCCATTATGAGATGTCTTGTTAACTGGAAATTACATTGAAATTTGCAGATTGTCAAGTCCATTGCCCCATCAATCTATGGCCATGAGGACATAAAAACTGCAATAGCCCTGGCTATATTTGGAGGCCAAGAGAAAAATGTAAAGGGGAAGCACAGACTGCGAGGAGATATAAATGTACTTCTTCTAGGTGATCCGGGCACAGCCAAATCACAATTTCTTAAGTAAGAGCTACATCTCATCGATTTTTGGTTTTACGGATAAAGATATATGTAACTGAACTAGGATATTCTCTCCTATCGTGATTCTTTTTTAGGTATGTTGAAAAGACTGGACAGAGGGCTGTGTATACTACTGGTAAAGGAGCCTCTGCGGTGGGGCTTACAGCTGCAGTGCACAAGGACCCTGTTACAAGGGAGTGGACCCTTGAGGGAGGGGCCCTCGTTCTTGCTGACAAAGGAATATGTCTAATTGATGAGTTTGACAAGATGAATGATCAGGACAGGTAAGGAAAATCTTTTGATGAGGAATAATTTCTCAACTTGGTAATTCTCCCCCTCTTGCCGAACCAGGAAAAAAGGTTTTGAATATTTTACATTTCTGGCATCAGGGTGAGTATCCACGAGGCAATGGAGCAACAGAGCATTAGCATATCAAAAGCTGGGATTGTCACCTCCCTCCAAGCACGCTGCTCTGTCATTGCTGCTGCAAATCCTATTGGAGGAAGGTATGCAAGTAGATCAATTTAACTGGTGCAAATTTGTGAAGGGACAAGACTACTGAGATTGCTAACTTGGATTTTTTTTTTTTTTCCTAAAGCCATATGTACCCCTGCATATTGATTACCTAAATCTATTAGTTTTGAGAGCAATGGATTAGTGTTTGTTTCATCACATACTAATGAGAAATCGTTGAAAACAATTTTACCCTCACTTGCATTGTATTTTTCATTTCTGAGCACAAGCCTTCCATCTTTTGTTTTTCAGATATGATTCCTCGAAAACATTTTCACAGAATGTTGAATTGACGGATCCCATTGTCTCTCGGTTTGACATCCTCTGTGTTGTCAAGGTATTTGTTTAAAACTGTCCTTTATTCACACTTGTGCATTCATGTTAACATGGAAGGATATTATTACATTGCAGGATGTGGTTGATCCCGTGGCAGATGAAATGCTAGCTAAATTTGTAGTTGACAGTCATTTTAAATCACAGCCCAAGGGAGCTAGCATAGATGATAAGTCCTTGAGTGAATCTCAAGATGATGTCCAACCTTCTGTAGATGCAGCAGATCCGGAGGTTTATACTTGATACCCAGACCTCACCTTATTGCTTCCGTAATCATTTAATTTAAACCCGATCCCGTGCTTCTGTGTTCATCAAAATATTTTCTTGCCTTTTTCAGATACTTCCACAAGATTTGCTTAAGAAGTACATCACTTATGCCAAGTTGAATGTGTTTCCGAGGTTGCATGATGTTGATATGGATAAACTTACTCATGTTTATGCTGAATTGCGGAGAGAATCCTCAGTAAGTTACTCCTTTCACTTGTTTTTCTCTTGAAGATTTTGTTAGACGCTTAATCTGTTACTCTGATGATGTCTTTGCATAAATCTCACCTGCCTTATCCCTTTGTAGTATGGACAAGGAGTGCCAATAGCGGTGAGGCACATTGAGTCAATGATACGGATGTCTGAAGCACACGCAAGAATGCACCTCAGACAACATGTAACACAAGAAGATGTGGACATGGCTATTCGTGTTTTACTTGATTCGTTTATCTCAACGCAAAAATTCGGGGTGCAGAAAGCTCTCCAAAAGGTATGGAAAGAGGTCCTGCTTTATTTTATATTCCTGTAAGCATTCGTCTGCTGTCTGCTTCATATATCATGCTATACCTGTTTAAACTATATCATACTAATCAAATCGAAAAATGCCTGCTGTGGTTGCAATATTTGATTGATTCTCTGATTTTAGCCATTTTCTTTCTTTGTTCTCTGCTCAATAAGCTGTAACTAATAAGATGTCATTCCTCCCTATTAGGAAATAAAATTAGGAAATGAATATTTTTCTTTCCTCTTTTCAAACAAAATTTGTTGATTTTTACAAGGGCGTTTAATTTTATTTTGCAGAGCTTCAGAAAGTATATGACTTTCAAGAAGGATTATAACGAGCTCCTCCTTTACCTCCTTCGTGAGCTTGTGAAGAACGCACTGCATTTTGAAGAAATTGTTTCTGGATCTACTTCAGGGCTTACCCATATCGATGTGAAAGTGGAGGATTTGAGGAACAAGGTAATTCAGACATAGAGGAGTTGGAACTTTTTTTCTTTCCATAACTGAATACAAATTGGCCTCGACTGAATTCGAATGTTTTGGTTTTGGTTTCACTTTCTGCAGGCACAGGAACATGAGATTTATGATCTAAAGCCCTTCTTCACTAGCACTCACTTTTCTCGAGCCAATTTTGTTTTAGACGAACAGCGGGGAGTAATAAGGCATCGTCTCGTTAGATGATTGTTTGGAGATGTGAATCTTGAACAGGTTGGCTAATCTTTTCAACTGAAGATATGAGCAGCATTTGGAGGTCGGATGAATGGATTCGAAGTTTTAAGCGTCGCACAAATGACCACCTCTAATTTTAAGTATGAACCCTACCAAGGCATATTTATAATATAATGGCATTAGCAACCACGTTCTGATATAAAGTTCTTTTTGTGCGTCTAATTTGGACGTACTAGTACGCAATGAAACAACGCTGTTGTGGCCATCTATGCGGAAGTACTTGATCAATGCTTGCTTTAAAAGAGCTACCGTGCAAATTACAGGGGCATGCAAATTCCATGAGAGTTATCTTTAGAAATGCTGGAAAATAATAGAAGTTAATGTGAATAACGTCATTCAGTTCTAGGTTTATTGCGGTAGTTTCAATAACCAAGGATATTCGCCCGATAATTTTGGGTGATTTCTTATTGAAAATAATCATCAAAACTTTTGCAGATAGACGTGTAATATAATTTAGCCACCAAGATAGTTTCCTGAGTCAATCTGGGTTATCAAAGGTAGAAAAAGTCGGCATTGCACCACATAAAGAGTAGGGAATTCTATAAAATTCTGATTCTTTTTTACCATCCAAATTACAGGGATCTGCTGCGTTACCATATATATTGGATTCTAAGTTAAACCAAAAGCTTATAGAAAAGGAAGATCAAAGAGAAACTCTGAAGAAATAACTAATATGCGAATCTGAAGTTAGAAGTGTTACTTGGCCATCAATATGGATCGTCAAAGGCAGCAATAAGCCTATATCAGGACGTTTTATTCTGTACACTCGACCTAAAACTAGATCAAGGAAAGAATGGCCCATCATCTGTGTTAAATAAATAAAGCCACATACAACACGCTCAATCAAATTGCCATAAACATCACACCGGTAATTTATGCACAAACTTGATAGATTATGTAAAATGCAATCATAGATAATGCACTCTAGTGAAATATATTAGTCGTCAATTAATGAGCGAGAACGGTTTCACGGAGTTTCAACTCTAGATTAGGACCATAAGTTCTTTAAGCATATACAGGTGATGTAGAAGCCAAATTTCCAAGCTTCGAAGCAAAAGTTGGAAGAAGTTAAAAGCCTTAGATCTTGGAAAAAAAAAAAAAAATCTTTTTGTGTATGCAACATAGAGTTGAAGACTACCCTACCAAGTCTGATTCTTTAACTATCAATATTAAAGCAATATTCCTCGTTACCACATGTATTGCATTCTAAGCTCAACTGAAAACTTAGAAGGAAAATCAAGAGGAACTATAAGACACTATCATAAAGTAGCTTTTGGGTGGCCATCCTGCTAGTAAAATAATCATATATTCTAGTCTGAAATAAGATGTGTCGCTTGTTCATGCATATAAATGATAATAGGCAGCTATATCATACTGTTGTATTCTGTTCACTAAACCAGAACTGAGCAAGGAAGAAATAGCCTTAATCATCTATGTAAAAAACAAAATTTGCATCAGTTGGGTTCAGATAAACGTAAATTCACATACAACAAGTTCAACCAAATTGCAATGTGTTGAGTCAGAAATCGCACTGGTATTATGTACAAACTTGAAGAATCATGTAAAATGCTATTTAGTGAAATACCAGTGGTCAGGAAAGGGAGGATGATATTACAGGGAGCCTTACCTACCACTATTGATCCGTTTGGTTCACGCGTTCACATCAGTGATTTTGATTCTGAATTCAAATTTTGTGAGAGAATTGACGGGGACTTCTTTTATTCAAAATTTTTGGAGAGAGCAGAATCAGGAATCTTGGTTCTAAGTCCTAAAACTACGGGCCATATATAATAGAACAACCGGTCCAAATTATCTGTATGTACAGTATCTATATATCTAACTTTTCAGAAATCTTCTTTCCTTTTTCTTTGAATAAAAAGGGTAAGATGAGGAGGAGTGACTACTGGTAGCTAACCCATCTAGATATCATCATAACTGCATCGATCTATATTGCATTTTTGTCCATATCAAAGTAATTATATATTAGTCTTCTAACTCAAAGCATTGAACATTGCGCATGGAGATCTTTTCTTTCTCCTTCCCTATTTATCAAATCTTAAACATCTACTCTTGAGGTATGGTGACACCAAACCGAGAATGCTGTAAATAGGCTTATATGCATAATACAGATTTTCATGCCTTGTGTACCACCATCGTGAGTTTCAACGAAACAAGCACATATAGCTAATGTCATATACAGTAATAATGTCCTCAAGAAAACAGAACAGCATAGGATGTCTTGTACACAACTCTAGAAGAAATAACAAATAAGCAAGGCTGGAGATTAATCATATCAAATCACTTTTATTTCTGCAAAAGAGAGAGGAAAAAATGACAAAAGGGTGTTTGTATTTTCAATTTACACAGTACTTTTTCGATTGTTTCACGTCAGAATTGGACGTGAAAACATAACCAAATCCCTTCTCTGATCTCTAATATACAAGAAGTGTAATTATTGAATAATAATCAATCATACATATTTCATATTAAAGAAAAAAGGACTAAAAAAAAAGTATAAAGAATATCACTACCGGACCTACTCTGTCCTGGGTTAATCTGAAAAATGGCAGAAAAACAAAAGGCAAAGAAGAAAAAGAAGAAGAAGAATACCAAAGGCATAATATATATACCGAAGTAGTTGATTCAGAGCTTCTGATGAGAGTCAATGAGCAAAGCATTGAGCATGATCTGAACGGCGGCTTCATAGACAGGCAGATCGTAATGCATCCCATCCTCCGTACACCGAACCCCACAATTCCAACTCAACGACTCGATGTCCAGCATCAAGAGGGGCCCACCGGATTGCCGCAGCAGCTTGCTCTTCCATAGCTGCCTGTCGTAAGATCCCCTCCTCTCGTCCGTCATCTTCTCCCTCTTCTCCTCCGTGTTCAGCATCGAGTTTATCAGCGTCGGCATACCAATCCAGAACAAGTGCGGCTGCAGCGCCGGCGCTTGTGATCTCGTCCCGTCGCCGGCGAGCTCCGGCGAGTAAGGAACCAGAGAAACGACGGAATCTCTCAGCTTTTTCAAGGAAAGTGCGTAATCGGATTCATTGGTGACGCGAAGCATGTGCCATAGGCCGGAGTTTATGACGAGGACGTCCGGCGGGGAGCGGCGGCGGAAGGCGGCGACCAAATCGGTGAGATTATCGGCGTAGGGAGCCCAGACGAAGTCGAGCCTGGCGCCGATCTCGGGAATTAGGGTTTGGTAATCGCTGTGGCGCTTAAAGAGATCAACTTTGGCAGAATCGAAGGAATTGGAGTCCGCGAGGAGGAGGCGGAGGAGAGAGAGAGCGACAAAGCGGGCCTGGGAGTCACCGGCGACGACGATCCACGAACCGTTGAGGAGATCGGAGGCGTCGGAGCGGGAGAGAGTCTGAAAATTACAGCTTGAGGAGGAGTTCGGCCATGACCAGGATTTGTGGTAATGGAGGGAGGAGGAATTGGAGTCGGAGAGGGTGAGGTTCCAAACGACGTCGTGGAGGAGGGAGAGGCAGGAGTGGCGGCGGGAGTCGAAGACGACGACGGCGGAGGAGAGAGAGGAGACGAAGAAGGAGGAGAGAGAGGAAGGGAAGAAGGGGGTGGAGAGGTGGACGCCGACGGCGAGGGAGATGAAGAGGGCGCCGCTGAAGAAGAGCATCTTGTTGCGGCTGAGATGCCATCCCGCCATGCCCATCGGGACCAGCACCACCACCAGCGCCGCCACCATGCCCAGCTGCACAGTTCCCAACATCTCTGCTCTTGTTGTTGTTGTTGTTGTTGTTGTTTGTTGCAGAAGAAGAAGGAAATCTTCTCCAGAATCAATCAGTTTACCATGTTTTGATTGTTTTGAGACTTTCAATTGGGATTTTCCCAAATCTGGTATGGTCGCCGGGGAATGGGAAAGTCCCGTTGGATCTACTATGCATACATATGCATTAAATAAAAAATATAAAAGAAAATAATGGTTTTTTTTTTATCACTTACCAGAAATAGACAAAGATAGTGAATTGACATTTAAAAAATAAAAAATAAAATTTAAGTAAGAGAGGGTTAAATATGAACTTCCCTTATAAAACTTGAGGGGGAAAATTGGAACGAAATATAAATGATATTAATTAGTAAGGGTATGATTATCCGGAAAAAAAAAAAAGATATTAAGGGTGGGATTGACGTAAAAGTATGTCAGATCTCTACCGCATTTTTTCAAGAAGAGATCTTGTATTATAATTTGTGAAAGATATACAATGGTGAGTATTTATATCATTATTGTATTGAAAATAATACAATAGTATACGAGAATATCAAAATAATATATATAATAAAAATGAGAATAATATAGCAATCACAATCACCGTATTTTTAGGGTCCGTTCACTTCACTGATTTGAGTTTGTAATTCGAGTTAAGATGTGATTTTATGTGAGAGTTTTTTATTGTAGTAAAAAATTTAGATGTGACTATTTTTAAGAACTTTTTATTCTAATAAAACTTAAATTCTAAACTCGAATCGGTAAAGCGAACGAGTAGTTTGGTTAGCCATTTGAGCATTTTTCAAATTTAAAACCTTTCTAAATCAAAAATAAACTATACTACTATTTAAATTCATAAATTTGAACTCTAAACTTATAATTATAACTAAGGTTCATTACAAGCTTCGTTCATTCTAGGGGGAAAAATATCAAAGATACAAATTGCTCAATAAATGTAAAAGACTATTACATTATAGTTCAATTCAAAATTTAGTTTATTTTCACGCCCTCTCTGAAAAATTTCTTGACTCCGTCACTAGTTCTAGTATAGTTTATCGTCAAATTTGACTGGCTAATAAAAATATCAATAACCTATGTTATGTTATAACATTTTAGTTATAGTATGTTATAAATTTGTTTACTATAGTACTATTAAAAAAGTGGCTAAAATCCTGATATTTACTAGTTTTTCATTGATTATATATATTGTTCTCGACACCAAAATTCGAGTCCCTTACCTTCAAGAAAACAAGCATTTGACGTAATAAAGATAAAAAATAGAAATAAAAATGATATTTTAATTTAGTGTAAAATGAGAGAGAAATAAAAAATGACTTTTATTCATTTTTTATTTTTTGTTTTTGTTTTCTCCTTTCTCGAGTAAAGAGAGATATTAATGAGTTTTTTTATACTGAAAACAATCTCTTGATAAAACAACCAAACCCATTTTTAAAAATGATTTACTGTCTGAGATTAAAAACGTTTACATTTTTATTTTCATACAAAAAATAAAATCATTTTAGAACGAGTTCTAAACGCGCCCTAAAATTATGCATTGTTTATTTCACCTATTTGAGTTTTCAGTTTTAGATTTTTACAGTTAAAAGCTCTTAAAAAATGTCACATCTAACGTTTTCTGTTATAATTAAAAACTCTTAAAAAATATTGTGCGTGTTTAAAACCGTTTTTGAAAACGATTTTCACGTATTTCGAGAAACAAAAGATGAAAATGAAAACGAAACGACGTTTGTTTAACAAATATTTTGAAAACGAAAATAAAAATGAAAACAGTGAAAATGATTTTTATGAAGGAATTAGAAAACAATTGAAAGTTATTTTCACTTTTTTATTTTCATTTTTTTGGTATTTATCAACAATATTATAATATATTACTTAATAAATACGATTGCACTTTTTTATTATACTCAAAATAATATCTTAAAAAATCAACTAAATGTATTTTCATAATTGGTCTCATAATGATTCTCAAAACAATCTCATTTTTACTTTTTATTGAAAACAAAATCATTTTGAAACTAATTCTAAAAGCTCCCATTATATTTTAATTCAAATTAAAAACTTAAGACTTGTTCGTTTGCATTTTTTGAGTTTATGGTGACTTGAGTTCAGATCTTAATTTAAGTTAAGGTGTGACTCTAATTTGAGTGTGTGTTTGGATGGACACATTTTGAGTTATGGTTTAAATTGAAAATCTATTTGAGTTTGTGTTTAGGTGGATGAAAACTTAAATTTATATTTAGATAATATTTTAATAAAAACTTAATGGTGATGGAAAATTTTAATAGGGTATATGGGTGTGATTTTATTTGTCTTTCCGTTGTAAACACATAAAAAAAATCATATCAATCAGCATTAAAATAAAAAAATTATGGTATTTTTAAGAATAAAAAAATATTGTTCATTAACTTGAATTTGAGTTTATAAACTTGAGTTAAAAGAGGAGAAATTAAACTAAAATTTTAGCCTCAAACTTAAATTAAAATTTAAATTAAAACTTAAATTTTATAAAATAATGTGAATTTAAATAAAATTATAATTAAAATATAATTTTTTTTTGAGTTAAATTATAAATAAATAACTTCTTAAATTTATAAAATGAACGAGTCAAATCCATTTAATTAGTAATTAAGAAGGTAACACTATCTCTCATTTTTCAAGAGGGAAAAAAACGAAAGGATTGGAACCCAAGGTCTTGTGCTTCTCGCTCACTTCTACATGCCATCTCACAAAAACCTGCTCCAGTTATTATTCCTTCATGACTTGCCTTTTTTGAGTGTTTAAAAGTACGGAATATGGAGGAGTGGACAGACAGCCTGAAATAAATTTAATTTTAATTCCTGATTTTTTGAATTTAGATCATCTCTTTAATTTTTATAGAGTTTTTTTGGTAATCTTTCTATTGATATGTTTTAATTTTTAATCATTAAATTTAATTAAAATTATATTAAATTAAAAATATATGCAGATTAAATATATTTTAATATAAATTTAATGACTGAAATGATAAATACAAACAAATTAATTAAAAAATAATTTAATTTTTTTTATATAATATGACATAATATAATTAGTTAAATGTGAGAGGATTTTAAGTCCCTACTGTCTTCCATTTGTCGGTCTTTCTCTCGACATGACAATTGACAGACTAAATAATAAATGACCCTATACGATCATCATTATATTAAACACTACTTTTTAGCTTCTTATTCTTCTTCTTCTTACAACATTAATAATTTGATAGAGACGACGAATTGAAGAGATGATGATGGTAGAAGAACGGGCAAAGGAGGAGCTCAGAAATATTGAAGCCCAATACCCCAACAGTCATGAGTACCTTAAGCTTGAGCTCAAGTCCTTCATATTTCTTCTCCAATCTCACCACCATCACGATCATCTCAATATTCTTCTCAATTCAGATCATACCCAGTTCTTCCCTACCTCTTCCCCTGCTGTTGCCACTCAAGGTTAATTATTTACTCCATATATGTTCTTTTTATGCACAAGTGCTTTTCATTCTTTTGTTATTGCATTATATTATTTGTTATCACTGATGATTTTTTTCCCCCTTCATTAATATTGGTTCATTGTGGAAAAGAATCGACGAGTAATAGAAAGAGGAAGAAGGTGAGTGAGAATCATTGCATTGATAATGACAGTGATAAGCAAGAGTTAAATCAGATTAATCAAAGTCCAGAGGATATTGTTGTGAAGGAGACCAAGAAAAGAAGGGATAGAGTTGAACTAGTTCTTGAGAGAGCTCGTGCCTGTCTACGAAAGATCAGACATCTCAAATCCTCCCTACTTCCATGCTCTGCAGATTGATACTATGTATGGTTTCACCACATATACTGAACCATGAAACTAAAGGAATACTTTTTTTGTTTTTGTTTTTGGTTGTAGTAAAGAACTTGCCAACTGGGCTAAAGCTGTGATGTTCTTGCTTACTTGCATAGGATGACTCTCTAGCGTCTACTGTCCACTGTAGCTTTGGCATGGCATATTTCTGATGATTCATGGTTTGTGTTGAAAAATGCAACATATCACTATATTTTAGTGATGCGATATATCACTATATGGTTTATGTTTTGTATGTTTGCAAGTTTTTTCAAGGACTTGTAAAATATCACCTTTTGGAGCAAGGCCTATGCAAGTATAAAAACAAAATAGACTGAGTATGTACGGATTATGAAAATACTAAGGCTCAGTTTACAAAGAGAAAATTCTGAAAATTACAGACAAACATTGTTTGTACTTAGGTCTCACAAAATAATATGATCAAATGAGATTGGACTAAAAAATGGTATAAAGGACAAGTTGAATTGTTCCTATACAAGGTAAATGTTGTGTGGTCCTCCCCCAAAATGGTTGCAGAGGATCCATATTCTGTCTTTTCCTTTCCTTGTAATGATAAGAGGGGGGCAACTACGCTGGGGTTCCGCAGAAAGTCTACACTCTGCAATTTCTTGATCAGCACTTTTTATTTATTTATTTGCCTTATTTAAAAAAAAAATATATATATATATATATTTTGTTTTGCCATTTTCTTCATACCTCCAAGCTTATTATTTGTTAGATTGCATCCCCATGTGAATTCACTTACCATATAAATAGTGGAAAATGTATAAACAAATGAGATTTGGGCACGTGTTCTCTCTTTTTTTTTAGGGGATTATTTTGCCATTGTTCTTCTCAAATTCGTCACTATGGACGAGTCTTACATGTCATATGTGGAAATAAAAAATCTAACATGATAACATTAATCTTATTTTGTGTACCAATGACTTTGTGAAGGTTATAAAACCAAAATTTATCTACCATGTACACATTTATAATGTCATTGTTACACAGAATAATTCATGTTATACATCCTACTTCTACATGTTATATAGTGTAGAATCGGTCTTTATAACCGGTGGCCTTGCAGACAAACCCAGAGTTATCACAAAATTATCCGTACTTGAATGTTTTAGATGATAGTGATATCACAATGGAGTAAACTTGCCATTACGTATAACACTTGATGGTACAACCACATTTCAATATATTCCTTTTGATTACAAAAATTTAAACTGATGGCCTCTTAGCAATCATACAATGACTCACTGTAACTTCACGAGAGAAACTACCAAGGAAATTTTACCCCATAACATTTCTCTCTATTCTCAGGATCTCCCTAAACATGCATTTTCATGTGGTAATTTCTAAGCATGGAAAACCAAAAGGAAAAGCAAGCATTAAACCAGAGATAATAAGAACATGAGAACTATAATGTATTGGGTTTCAGTCATCACTATCACTGATCTCAAAAACTGCCTTCTTAACTAAAGAAGAAGAATTGAGGTGCAACCCTTTTCCATATCTAGATCTACAAAGACGAGCAGGAGATATTGTTTTGCTTGAAGAAATTCCAAGATTATCTAATGCAACGATGAGGCGTTTCCCAACATCAGCTCCATCAATCTTACCCTTTGAAGTTCCTTGAGAAGGACTGGTTGGCAAACGACAAGGCAATAGATTTGAGGGATGTTGGCGGCCGGAAAACTTGGGAACAGAATCAACTTGTGTGCTCAAGGCTCCATCATCACCACTTTTAGTCTTTGAGCGTTTTCGCCTCCGACTTTGACGTTTAGATGTGACATCAGAACTTGCAGGGCTGGCATGAGCCTTCATCTCACTAGAGCTCGGAAAGTATCTGTTAATGATGCTGGTAACAGATTTTACTTCTGAAAACATGTCACCTGTGGCATCTGTCATCTCTCTAGAAGCCTGTTGATATCTCGCCTCAGCTTCAGTAGCAAATGGACAATAATCAGAAATCTTGTTGGCAGTTAAAGACGAAGGCTTTGCACCTGCACAAACGAATTTCTTCTCATTTCCGTTATCTTTGTAATCTAAGATGCAGCTTTTCCTTTTTCTCTTCTTTTTCTTCTTTGGAGGTTTGTGACTCTGCAATTCCATTTCGCCATATTTCTCTTCCTCACATCTTTTATTGCTGTTGTCAATGCTTACAACAGAATTTTCTGGTTCCAAAGGATCAGTAATAATGCTATCATTCGATAGCACAAGATCAAGGTCTTTAGATACCGAATCAAGCAAGCATGGACAAAAAGGCTCGCTTGAAGTTCTTGCTTCTGCCCGAAGAAACCATGTTCCTCTCACACCATGAAAAGCACACTTCACAGGAATTGAGTTGGGAAGGTAGTAGAAGCATGATTTTTTCTTCACCTATCAAACAACAGCGTGCTACATTATAATCGCGAACGGAGAAAAAGTCAGCAGTGACTAGAAAATCAATGAAATAAACAACAAAATATGCACCATTAATCCATAAACTTCGATCTCTCCTGATCCAGGGAAGCATTTGATGTGCACTGTCTCAAGTTCTCCTAAAAATGTAATCAACAGATATTACAATTGTGTAAAATAAACCGAAGTGGATAATAGTACAAAGAAACTTTGAAATAACAGAAATGTTCCGTTATCATAACTTCAATACAACGGTCTAATGCCATAGTAGGGAGTGGAAAACATTCTCACTATGCCACTGACAGTATAATGCTCTCACAGTTTACATGGATGGTAAAACCATATAATAAGGATTGAAGTAACAAAAATCGTCACACTATTAAATTTAAATTCAACATTATATTCAGAACAGAATAAGGCCAGTTGGAACTAATAATCAGATCCCTTGATTAGAAACAATAGAGAAATTGACTAGATCAAATTCCAATAAAATCCCTCCCTTGATTCTCTAAAAGATACAAGCTTTAAGCAGCGTGGCATCATAATGCAACTGAAAAATGACAATCTACATTGCTAATAGAATTCATGATTTGTTTTTTTTTCTCCCTTTCATTCTTTATGCTTAAATTAGGCAAGATTTTTGCTTAAGAAGCAAACACCATACACACAAACAAATCTAAAACCCATGCACGAGAAAAAAGAAATCATCAGAAAAAATTAATCAATACTCGAGCAATAGTTTTCATGGTTAACTGAGGGAAATAAATAAATCCCATTAAAACTAAGATGGAATTGAGAAACATGTTCACAAATAAAATCTTATACTACATTATTTTCATCTGGGTCTTCAGAAACCAAAAGATTTTCCTTTTTTTTCCCCTTTTTCTGGGGGTTTACATACTCTTGAAGTCGCCTGCTGTGATGTTCGAAGGGACACAAACAACAAGACGAGTACCCAAGTTGGTTTGTGTAAAAATGGGAACTTTAATCTTCGAACCCATTTTCGACTGCCTTGCCACTCTGTAACAGCAAACTCCTCGGCCAAAATGAACATCCCCAAACCCAAATCCACCAACTCTGGGAAAGATGTTCGCCACTGTCTTACGTGGCACATCATAGTAAAGGGTCCCACTTAAACGATATTTTTTAGTTTCTGGCGTCACTATTTCTTTGACATTTTCACTTTAAGGTGACTCTACTATCACCTTTTTTATTTAAATAATAATAATATCACGTAGTAACTTAACGTGTCAAACATAAAAAATAAAAAAATAGCAAAAAAAATATGTATATTTAAAAAATAGATTGTGACTTTTTATTTTATTTTTATTAATTAAATGATAATTATTTATTTTTAAATGTAGTGATATAAATAATATTTTGAATAGTATTTCTAGTTTTTTTTTTTTAAATTTAAGGGTGGTATTTCTAGTTTTTTTTTAAATTTTAAGGGTGTGTTTATTTATACAATTTAAGTTATTATTTGAGTTGTGTATGTGAGAGAAAAATATTATAATAAAAAAATTAAATTTAAATTTATATAAAAAATTATAATAATATGACTTAAGTTATAAATTGAGTCATAAAAAATCTCATTTATTTTATTCATTTAAATTTTTAATTTTATATTTTTATAATTAAAAACTCTTAAAAATATCACATCTAACTTTTATTATAATTAAAATTTTTTAAAAAATATCATATTTCAACTTAAATTAAAAATGTAAATTCGTGAAGGAAGCAAAAGATCAAAGTGTAATAATAAACTCCTTTTAAACAAAAAATAATATAGTAGTAAACTCCCCCACGGTAATAGAAGAAGTGCCAGTACGACTATTAATTAAAGGAGCCACAAGAAAAGACTCCTAATAAATCCGAATTTTCTTTTTTTTTTTTCCTTGCTGAATAATAATGATAATAATTATAAATAAAAGAATAAATATTTCCCTAAAAATTAATAAATAAATATGAAACGCTGAAAGAGGGCAACGCAGTCATCTTACTGAAGGATAAAAAATTGGAAATGGAGAGAGCCCAAAAAGCCGTAGCGAGTAAGAAAGCGATTTCCTTTGCCCCGCCTCTGAGATTTCCTCACATCTCAATCCAAGAAGCCAGAGATAGAGATAAAACAAAAAAAAAAAAGATTTGAGTTTGATTGAGTTGTGAAAATTGAAATGGGGGTCTTCTCCAACAAGATCGACAAGGACCAATTGAAACCAGGCGATCACATCTATTCATGGAGGCACGCCTATCTCTACGCCCATCACGGTCTTCTTCTTCCTCTTCCTCTTTTATTTTTTATTTTTGAGATCATTCTTTTCTACTATTATTTTCTTCATTTTTTGTTTCCTTGGGTTGCGAAATATACAGAGGAAAAGGAAAAAAATAAATAAATTCAGATTATTTTTTTAGTTTAGTAACATTTGGTTAATCCCCTTTAGCCAATTTGGGCTTGCAATGGTGTCATGAATTGTTTTGAGGCTGATGGCATATTTAAGATCAGAAGATGTAAAATGCAAGTGGTTTCTTTCTTTCTTTCTTTCTTTCTTTCTTTTTTTTTTTCAACTTGGAAAAGCTTGTGTGATAGATAACTTGAGATGGCTATTAAGATTGAAGATCATTACAATCTAATCAGAGGGAAGATATTCTTTGATCATTATATTAAATTTACCAGCTTGCTATTATGCTTATGTACTACTTTTTCTTTCATTTTTTTTAATAGGAATTGTATTAGTACTTTTCTGTAGACTGGAAATTGATAGTTTACTCAGATAGGTTGTGCTTAAATTAAAAGTTTTGGCCTTAAAATGACTTTGAATGTGATTAGTGAAAGTTAAACTCAAACCAGTCCAGTTGAGTTAAGAGTATCTATCGGGCATTTGTAATTTAGGAACAAGTAATGCTTTCTCACCAACCCTCTTTTCCTCAATAAGAATCCAACTTTCTTGAATTTGCCAAATTCCATTATAGGTATTTTGTTTTACTACTCACTAGCCTCTTTCATGTGATTCGTCCAGGAATATATGTTGGTGAAGGAAAGGTGATCCACTTCACTCGAGGAGGTGGGCAGGAAATTGGCACGGGAACCTTTCTGGACCGCATCATATTCAGCTCGTCTCCATCCCATTCCGTGGACAATCCATGCCCTAGATGTGGTGATCAATCTAGGCTTAGCGGCGTCATATGTTCTTGCCTAGATTGCTTTCTCTGGGGTGGAGAACTCTACCTCTTTGAATATGGCGTCAACCCAGCTTTCTTCATCGCCAAAGCTCGTGGAGGAACTTGCACACTTGCACCTTCCGACCCCCAGGAGGTTGTTCTCCACCGCGCCTCTTACCTCCTCCAGAACGGCTTTGGTGTCTATGATATATTCAAGAACAACTGTGAAGACTTTGCTATATACTGTAAAACAGGCTTGCTTGTGTCCACTACGTTCAGTGTGGGCAGGAGTGGGCAGGCTGCATCCTTTGTGGCGATGGCGAGTTCCATCATTTCTTCACCGCTCAGGTTTTTAACCACGAGTTGCTCTGGCCTCGCTGCTGTGGGGTGTGGCATGTATTGCATCAATCGGTTGGTCTCTGATATTGGAGTTCGACGTGATGTTACTAAAGTTTCAGTCGAGAGACTTGTTGCTCACCCTGGTTTAGTCTCCGAGGCTTCAACTGAAACTGTTAAAGACTAATTCTTCATTTATTTGGGACAGTGGACCACCAAAAGACCCTTTCTTTTTTTTTTTTTTTTTAAATTTTATTGTAAGTGTGAGATTGTGCCTTTGGATTGTTTCAAACTTGGTGTAAACATTCTACTATTGCTTGTCTTGTCAGAATTTTTGGTTTGTTTTATATTTTCGTCCATTCAAACTCGGGCAAATTTGTTTTCTGTCAAATTCGTTGCGAGTTGGACACTATCAACTGATTTGGTGCTTAGGCCTAAAGCTGCAACTTTGGGCCGCTTGGGACGGCAAAATAAGTGCAGGCTAGGCTGGGCCGGTCCGAGTTAACGGAGGGTCAGCCCAACCCAATGCGAAAGTCTCTCCAGCCGGGTCGAATCTTTATAAGAGCATCTTCAATGCTACGTTATAATTGATGTGTTAATTATAAATTTTAATATTTGAGTGAAAAAAATATTCTTTTTTATAAAATTATTTGTTGTGTTAAATTTCTCATATATGTTATAATCTGTGATAACTTTTTCACTAAGTATAACATATGAAAAATTTAATATTTGATTGCTATTGATTGAAATGTTATTTACATTTTCTATTTATTTTAAAAATAAAAAATTTACTTTTATAATTTTTAAAACTTAAAGGACGTTTGGTTTATGTATTCAAAATTATGATTCAAAATTATTCTCGTTTTACGTGTATTTTTTGTGAGAGAAAATATTGTAAAGAACCATGAATCATGATTCAGAATCAGAGACGAATATAGAAAACAAACGTCCCTTTAATGATTATGAAAAAATATATATTTAACATTTCAAATAGCATGTAAAAATAAAAATAACATATCATATTATACTTTTTAATATTAAATATACAATTAGTATTAACATTTACATTAGAGATAATCTAAGGTATTTTAAAAAAAATTAAAAAACAAAAAGTGTTCATGCCAACCTTGAATAAGCTTTCAGGCTCAAAATCTAAGCCGGACACGACCAAACCAACAAAAGCTTGACCTCAGGCTAATTCGTTCAGCCCAACCCAAACTTACAACTCTAGTTTGGTGTTGGGCTTTTCACTTTTCTTCTGCTGTTTGTTGGTGGTTAGGTGGCTGTTCCTTTCTTTGTTCTTGTTTAATGAAATCTCAATTATCAAAATTACGGAAAAAAGAAGGAAGAGAAAAGAAAAAAGAGAATCTAAAACATTTGGGAAACTGATATTGTTGCCTTTGAATCTCACAAACTACATACTATCATCAATATTCAAAAGCTAATTTGATCGATGTATAATCACATATAGACACGATTAGAAGTAAAAACACATGAACACCGGGACTTCTTACAAGAGTAACAGCTCACAAGAAAGTTTAAGGTCCATGATCGAATTGACAACGATATACTGAAAAATACTGAACCCCAGTAATCTCCAACTAATAAGGCCAAAAACTTGCACCCGGCTTCTTCACGAGGATCTGATTGTACTCTGGCCTTGAGGTCTGCAGATAAATTAATCAAATATCAAAGCAAGTAGTTTAAAAAAAAAAAATCTTGGGGTGTTTCATGTGATACCTGGAACACAAACAACATATTTGTGGGTTTTTCCAAAACAGTGAAATTCCCTTTCATTAGTTCTAACTCCTATGATTTCAGTTCTAGTGGACAAATAGTATTTTGTAGAATTTATATTGTTAGAAAATGAATGGCAGACATTTTAAGATAGATGTCAGATTTCTTCTACATTCAGGAAAGAAGTGAAACGTTCAGTTTTGAGATAAGGAAATAAAACAGACATCTTGTTAATTTTGAGTTGGGTGTTGTCGTTTTTTTGTTTGTATTCTCTATTTTCAAGAGGTCTTCTTGTTCTCTGTTTCATTCTTTAGTGTATTCTCCTTCTAGCAATCAAAAGACAGAAACTTAACAAAATTAGAAAACAATAAACACAGATCGGATAGAGATATTTAACATGACATGGTTCAGCTTTCCGCCACCAACGTCCACAGTCGGTTACTCATGCCTTAGTTTGCACCCTTGGTTGATGACTAGTGACGGAATTTGCTCAAAGCTGACACAAAACTGTTATAGCTATAAAATTGTGACTGTTTGAAATTTTAACTCAAAACAATTTGAGCAGATTAATGAAATGTATAGGTGCAGGACTATTCTATACCAGTAAAGTTTAAACATGAAATAGAACTAAGATCAAGAGCATGAAAAGGCAATTCTAGGAAAGCCAATAAAATGGTGATAAAACATCAGTAAAGACTGATGTTATAGAATCTAAGATTCATCATTTCTAAGGATAAAACATCAGTGAAGAAGATGTAGTCCATGAAGAAAGAAGAGAGGGATAGAGTCCTATAGAAGCACCCTAAAACTAGCAACTCCCCATGATAAAGACTAAAGAAAGACCAAAAACCATCTGTTCATAACAAGTACAGCAACCACCCCCACTATTAAAGCAGAAAAACAGAGATGTGATACTAAAACAGGAAAATACGAGAACATAAGACCATAAACGGTACACTCAAAGACGGCGGCTACCCGAGATTTCTGGTCATGCTCAGCAAAAATCCGTATGGGCATGCATTATGAAGGTATGAAACTGCTTTTAAGTAATATGGATAAAGGAGAAGCATAAAGAATGTGAACATAGACAGTAAAGCATGTATGACCACCAGAAAGTTTTCACATTTATCTTAAACAGTATAGGGCAGCAGAGAATGATCTAAGTCAAGGATTATGAAAAAAATAGGCCGCGTTCATTTCAAATGACAACTCAAACTTTTTGCTACAGTATTCTCTCTTTCTCTCGTATAAATCTACTTTTCAACTTCTCAATTTAACCCGCAAAACGAACGACCGGTCCTCATTCCAACAGCTTAAGCTTTCGGGAGGATTAGTAAAGCAACGTCCCAATAATTTTTAAAGAGGACTCGGACTCATGGCAATCACAGTATTTGGAATTAAACCTTAGTCAATAATCGTATTAAGAAATTTCGATCTCAAAGGTTTAGTTTTAGCACATATATCACCTAGGAGGGTTGCGTAATAGTCTCAACAGCATTCTTCTTCTGAATACTCGGTCACAGTGAATATTATATTTTCGTATTCCAACAACAATTAACATATTAGTATACTGAATCCTTTACTTCTATGCAATACCAACAGATTTAAGCAGATTAAGCGAAAACATCACTCATATAACACCGATAACAATATCAGATTCCCAATTTCTTGGTTAATAAAAGAAAAGTGTGATATAAAAAAATAATGGAGGGAAAATGAAGAAGAGGAGAAAAAGCGGTAACGAACCAGATCTTTGAAGATGAGAAAAGCGATGAGGAAGAAAAGGACGAAGAGGATCTCAAACTCGGCAAGTCTGACGAATCGGAAGACGGAGTTGACTGCCCGAGTCACTGCCGATTCATCCCTTTCCCTTCTGTTCCTGCTTTCCGCTCGCCCTGCACCTGCCATCTCTCCCTCTCCAACTTCTGTTTTCGTTTCAGGAAAAATATCTGTTTATTTGTCCTTCAAGACTCCGACTCCTCCCTCTATCCTTTTTCTCTTTTTTTTTTTTTTTTTTTTGGTAATTTAAATTAAATTTGTTTTTAAATATCTGTTTATTTGTGCTTCAAGACTCCGACTCCTCCCTCTATCCTTTTTCTCTTTCTTTTCTTTTTGGTAATTTAAATTAAATTTGTTTTTAAAATTCAAAAATATAACTTTGTAGTTAAAGAAAGATAATTACGAAAAAAATAAATCAGGAGTACATTTATGCAATTATCCCCAACTAAATTTCGAACTTTCAAATAACTTAACAAAAGTTTTTTTTTTTAAGAAAAGGAATAACATTAGACAAAATAAAATTGTTGTCAAATTTTAATTAATTGAACGGAGACAAGGCAGCTAAATTCAAAATAATGAAAATAATTACAAACACTTTATTCATTATTGATTTTAATTTTGTGATAAAATCAATTGAGCTTCTAACTACCAAATTCAACAGTGTTGGTTACTATTCGGTACTATGATAGAGTTGACAATAATCTCCACGGGACGGGACCTGGTTCCGAACGGAGTGCATATGGAGGACGATTATTAGAGATAAGAATGGGATAATCTAATTCTCAATTCGTGGTGGGCTTGAGACAAGAGCCGTACTGATATTAATGTATTATTTTTTTATGTAAATATATATATAAATATATATACATAATTTTTTAAAATTACATTTTACTTAAAAAAGAGTAACTATATTTTTTTAATTAAGAAAGGAAAACTACTGATTATTATAGTTTTTTTTTTTATCAAAAAAGGACAATTACTAATATTCTTCTATATTATATATACACATAAGAATGCACTACCTGGTGCCTCCTCATCCTCTTTTGAAGCTTTTAGGAATAGATAAGAAATAATAATTTACATTTTTATTTTGATGCTTTTAAATTTTTTTTGTTAGTTATTATTTTTAAATTCAATTAGTAATATGTTGAGAATTTTATTTTTATTATGAAATCTTTTATTTGATTTAAATTTATAATAAAATTTTACTATATTTTTATTTTAAATTTTTATAATTTTAAAATGTATAGTCCTATATAATGGAGAATAAAACGAGTATAAAAGAAGTTCCTCTAATAAAAATTTTCTGACTTTGATCCTAACTTGCCCTTCTTATACAAAAATGGGAACTGAAATGAGAATAACTTGAGGGGCGGGGACGGGGATGGAAAATAATCATCCGCCCTCACCCCATCCCATTACCAACCCTGTACTTTGAATACCGGATGAGCAGCCGCTTTTTGGTTTCCATATTTTGCTCCTGGACCTTGAGTACCACTAGATTCTTCTACATCGTTGGATTGTTTTATAAAGAATAAATAAATCAATATATTTAAAATTTTATGGCTGAGATGTTGTAAGAGGCTAGTCCTCCAATTTCAAACCGAGGGACCGTAGAAGAGCCATTATTTATTTATTTATTTATTTTGATAATTTAAAAAGTCCTATTCAAAATACAACTCTTATCTAGTGGTGGAACTTCGGGCCGGCGGGCCACCCGAAGCCCGAATTTTTTCGGGCTCGGGCGGGCAGGCCCATATGCCGAGCCGTCCAAGGTGGATATTCGGGCTCGGGCTCGGGCAGCCTGAATTTTGAGACCACACCGGAGCCCGCCGCCGTGTAGGTGCCGTTGACCGCCGTCTGCTGGAGTTTTTTTTGAATTTTTCCGGCCAAGCCCGAATTGCCCGAATGCCTGACCCGCCCGAGCCCGAAAATCATGAAAAACGACCGTTGGCTGCCCGACCCAAATTTTGCCCGAATACCCAAGATGCCCGAATTGTCGGAACCCACCCGAAGCCGAACCCGCCGAACCCTAAACTAGCCGTTGCAGCCCGAATTTTTTGAAAAAAAATCAATTTTTTAACCTAAAAATTTTCTTATAAATACCCCCCATCCCCCACACATTTTTCTCACTCAAACTCTCTCAATCCCTCTCAATTTCTCTCAATCTCTCTCAATTTCTCTCAATCTCTCAAATCTCTATTACAATTTTTCCAAAAACTATCACATTATCCTAAAGCTCTCTCTCTCTCTCTCTCAAATCGCTATTATTTTTTTATAATGGATCCTTTTGGTTATAGTGGTATTCCCGTTGATGCTCAACACAACATGGAAGAATGGCAATTTCCTACTAATGAATTTGTTACGCAAGAATCTACTAATCCAAGCCCTGGTGGACGTACTGGAGGTCGTGGTCGCAATGGTGGTGGGCGTGGAGAAACGACGAGTGCTAGTGTGACTGCGTCTGCAAGTGTTGCAACCTCTAGGAGGAAATGCAAGTGCACCTCGATAGTTTGGGATCACTTCGACATAATTGAGGAGATCGACAATGAAGGTAACACTAAACATATAGCTCAGTGTAAATATTGTTTATCTAAATTACAAGGTGACACTATTCACTGCACCACACACTTGAGAAGACACTCCGAAAAGTGTCTTCAAAAGCTTAGCCAATCCGGCGGACCCGAACTCCGTCAAACACAATTATCTTTTGATCGCGCAACCGGTGGTCTAACCACTACAATCCGCAAGTAGATCGTATGGAAGTTGCACGAATGATAGCTGCTTTAGATCAACCACTTAGTTTT